GCGGCGCTCACCTACGCCACCACCCACCACGCGGAGCTCAAGGCGAGGCGCCGCCGCCGCCGCCGCCGCCGCTCGTGCCGGCACCCCGTGCCTGGCCTGGCCGCTGCCCGACCCCCCAGCCCGGCGGGCCTGCCTGCTCCACTGCCTGGCCGTATCTCCCTCCTCCCTCCCCTAGTCCCCATGCCGCCCTGGCCTGCACTTGGCCCAGCCATCCCCAGTGTGCCCCCCCACCTCCCTCCCCTGCAGGAGCTGGCCTCCACCGCCCCCGGCTTTGTCAACGCGTCTGTGGAATTTGATGTGGCCAGCCTGCGCCCCACCTACCGCCTGCTGTGGGGCGCGGCCGGCGAGAGCAACGCGCTCGCGGTGGCGCAGGGTCTGGGCTTCTCGCCCGCGGTGGTGGCGGCGGCGCGGCAGGTGGGGCGCCGCCCGCCTGCTCGGGGCGGCCGGGTGTGGCAGGGGGGCGTTGCTGTGCGCTTGGCCTTCCGTGCTGTGCCGTGCTGTGGTCACGCTGCGCATGGTGCCGTCACGCTGGGCATGCTGTGGTCTGCTGCGCGCAGGTGGCGCATCAGCTGCACCACTCTGGCCAGGCCGCGGGCCAGCGGTCGCAGCTGCTGCAGGCCTCGCTGGCGGGGCAGGTGGAGGAGGCGCGGAGGGCGGCGGCCGGCGCCGCGGCGGCGCGTGCCGCCGCCGAGGCCGCCGCCGCCGAGGCCGCTCGGGAGCTGGCTGATGCGCGGCAGCGGCAGGCAGCCCTGGGCAGGGCTGCGGCGGAGGCCAAAGGTGCCGGTGCAGCGGCACAGCGGGAGGTGCAGCAGCTGCTGGCGGATGTGCGGGCGGGGCGGGTGGGCAGCCGCGAGGCGGAGGAGCGGCTGCGGGAGATGGAGCGGGCGGCGGCGGCGCCCGAGGCGGCGGCCGCCACGCTGCTGGGCCTGCGGGCAGCGGCCAAGGTGCCCGCTGCCCTCCCGCCCTGCAGCCGACCTGGCCTGCCTGCTGCCTGCTGCCTGCTGCACGTGTGTCTGTGGGTGTGCAGCGTGTGCCCCGCTGGCCCTCCCAACCTGTCCCGCCGCCTGTATCGTCGCTGCTCCTCTCCAGCCCGCTCACTTGTCCCGCGTGGCTCGCTCTGGCTGTCGCCAACGCAGGGCGGCGGCGCTGGGCTGGCCGACGACGGTGCCAACGGCGGCCAGGGTGCGGCGGCGGGCTGGACGCCTGCCGAGGGCGAGGCGGTGCGTGTGCTAAAGATGGGCGGCGCGGCGGGCAGGGTGGTGTCTGCGGCCGGCAGGAGCGGCGGCAAGGTGGGGGTGCGGGTCGGCTCCCTGACCGTGGAGCTGCGTGTGGCTGACCTGGTGCCAGCTGGCGCCCAGCACGCCCAGCAGCAGCCAGCGCCGGGTGCAGCAGCGGGCGGCGCCCGGCCGCGCGGCGGCGCCGCCCCGGGCCTGAAGGCGGCCGCCGGCCAGCTGCGGGCGCGCGGCTCGCTGCGCGGCGGCGGCGGCGGCGACGGCGGCGGCGACGGCGACGCAGGCGGCGCACCCCCCACCCCCGCCCTCGCCATCCAGACCTCTCGCAACACTGTGGACGTGAGGGGGCGGCGGTCGGAGGAGGCGGCAGCCGAGGTGTCGGCGGCGGTGCTGTCTGCGCCCTCGGGCTGCGCGCTGTTTGTGGTGCACGGCGTGGGCACGGGGCGGGTGCGGGCCGCGGTGCTGGCCATGCTGCGGCGCCACCCGCGGGTGGCACGCCTGGAGGAGGCGGAGGCAAGCAACGGCGGCTGCACCGTGGTGCACGTCAGGTGAGAGGCAAGGGCGGGCGGCCAGCCTGGGCCACCTCCCGCGCTCCCCTGCCCAGCGGGGCCCTCCACGCACACACCCGCCACCGCCATGCCATGCCTTGCTGCGCGCTGCGGCGCACTGCTCTGTGCTGAGGACTGCCTTCCACAATGTATGGTTTAAGGCACTGTAACGCACGCATCGCATGGAACATGCTCAGCCCGCCGCCCCGCTGTGTCTCAGCCGACCGCCGTTTCCCAGGCTCCCGCCCTTGGCGTGTGGCGCCGTTGAGTCATCCGTCCCCCTGCTCAAGCCCCGCCACCCCCCTCCACCCCCTCCAGCCCCAGCAGCTTCACAAAGGCGCAGGCCACGTGCCCCGTCACATCCACCCGCTGCCCCGACCCCGGCGCCTGCGAGTGGCCCCAGCCGCCCACCGCCGCCGCCGGCACGCCGGGCCCGGCGATCACCTGCACCGCCATGCCGCGGGGGGTGGTGGAGCCGAAGCACCGTCAGGAGAGAGCCAGAAAGAGGAGGGCACGGGCAAGGCGGCCGTCCACCAAAACTCTGTGTGCCGATGCGTCACCTGCGAGCCCGCACTCTCCCCAACTCAATACAACCTCCTGCACCACCACCACCACCACCGCTAGCCACCACCACCGCCGCCGCCACCACAGCCTACCTGGGCCTCCAGCAGGAACGCCACCGCCACGTCAGCGCACCGCAGGTACAGGCGCTGCCGGCCGCGCTCCTCCTCGGCGGCCGCCCCCTCGCCCGCCGCCCCCGCCGCCGCGCCGTCGGCCAGGCTCACAGCCAGGCAGTCGGCCAGCCCCTCCAGCGCGCACGCCACCTCCACCGTCGCCTGCTGCTTCGGGGCCTGCCGCCGGCGTGGGGGGCAGGCAGGCGGGTGAGGAGCGGGTCAGGCGTGGCAGGCAGCACACAGCGCGAGGCGTTTGGGTGGGCAGTATCCCACGTGCCCGCCCGCCTCCCTCCCACACGGCCCACCTCCCTCACGTCCTGGTAGTATCCCGAGCCGATGATGCCCCCCTGCAGGCCGTGCATGTAGGCCGCCAGCTGGCGCCGCTCCCGCCCGGGCGGCAGCTGGCGGTGCACTGCCGCGCCCGCCTGGCACTGCCAGTTGGCGAAGAACGCGCGCTCCTCCGCCTCCACCTCGCCCTGCCTGAGGAACGGCAGGAATGCACAGGCAACAAGCTGAGCAAGGTGTGGGGCCAACTGCCTACCGCCCTCCTCACCGCCGCAACCCACATGGCAGTCGCTGCTCCAGAGCGGAGCCCGCCCGCCAGGCACACCCAGCCAGCCAGTCAGCCCCGTGTACCTGCGGCGGTACGCCTCCAGCGCCCGCTCTGCAGCGCCCAGCAGGCGGGCATCGTCCAGGGCTGCTCCCGCTGCTGCCAGAGCATACGCCGCCTCCCCGCCGTACAGCTGCCAGCCCGAGTCGGGCAGGCCTGGCGGATCAAAGTGGACGGCAAAGGATCCGTCGCCGCGCTGCTGCCGCAGCAGGCCCGCCGCCAGCTCAGCCATCAGGCGCCGCCGCTGCGCCGGCTTGGGGTGGCCCTCCCAGCTGGCCAGCGCCAGCAGCAGCATGGCGCTGTGCGCCACTGTGCTGGGCTCGCCCAGGCCCCCCCGCCCCGCGCCCAGGTGGCACCTGCAGGCCCAGGTGTGATGGGGCATGGGGTGCGGGCATGGGGATGGGGTGCGGTCAGAGGGAAGTCGGGCGGGCACCTTTGGCAGCGGGGATGTGGGCATTGCAAAGCAAACAACACAGTCAGGGGTGCACTTCCCACCCCATCTCCCGCGCTCTGCTCCCTCACCAGGGCCCCGCCTCCACCCCGCTGCCTGCCGGCGGCACCGCATCCACCTCGTCCCCGTGCCACGCCCCCGGGTGGTGCACCAGCATCGGCTGGTAGTGTGCCAGCGTGGCGCCTATGGCCTGCATTCAGAAGCACGTGGCCTCTGCAGCATGTGGGTGCCCGCTGGGCTCCCGGCCGTGCGCAGCGCCTCGCTGTCCCTGGGCCCGCCCTACACAGCAGCCAGGCATGCACGGCCCAGGCAGCCCAGCGCAGCCCACCGCATCAAACTCGCGGGAGCCCAGGTGGTGCTGCAGCACCGCGAGGTCGTAGCCGGTGCCCAGGTCCCGGATGGGGCTGGCCCTGTCGTCCACCCAGCCCCGCTGGTAGGTGAGGGCATAGTGGAGGCGGTGTGTGGTGGGAATGATCCAGTGGCGGAACCAGGAGGCTGCATCGCGCAGGCTGGACTGCAGGGCAGGCCTGTTCAAGCCCTGCATTTGATCCTGCGTGATGATCAATTGAACAGGGCAGTGAAAGAGAGGGGCTATGGCGGGTTCAGGCTGTACCCACGCCGGCTGACGTGGAGTTTTGCCCTCTTTCGTGCAGCTAGTTCCACACTTGCACACTCTTGGCCTCCATGGATGGCTGGGCTGCTGCCTCGGCTGCCTGGGAGGCCCACTTTCGGGTGTGTGGTGTGGAGGCCCAGCCCTGCTTCTGCTACTTGGCGGCAGCTGAGGCTCGAGGGGGCTGCCTGGCAGAGCGCCTGCAGGCAGGGGAGGCCAGCAGGGCTTGTCCAAGGGAGCAGCAGGAGGCAGTTCCCCGCCACCGCTTCTCACCTCCAGAACTCTCCGCTCTTCTCTCTCCGTGCGCAGGAGCGCGAGCGGCACTGGTGCCGCCACGACAGCCTGGCCGCCGCCATCTGCGTGCTGGCCCTGGTGGCTGCGGCGCTGCGTGTGGAGCAGGAGCTGTCCCTGTGGGAGGCGCTGGCGCACGTGGCGCTGGTGGGACTGGCCCTGGCCCTGATGGCCGCCAGGAGGCTGGAGGGCTACTCAGCCTGGCGCAACGTGGCGGTGGTGGGTCTCGCCAGCGCCCAGGCAGCCCGCACGCCGGCCCAGGGCGCCACCACCCTCCCCGCAGGCAGCGCCGGCATCCGTCTGAATGTAGGCATCGGTGCTTGACGCCCGGCTGCGCCCCGCGTGCCCCGCCCCCCCAATTCTTTCACACGCAGGTGCTGCTGCGCCTGGGCATCTGCGCCTCCCCCATCATCCAGAAGCACGCGGTGTTTGTGCTGGCAGGCAAGCCCCTTCCTCGCCCTGCGGGCTACGGCGGCGGGCCTGTCTGGTATCAACCGTGCTCGCATCCCCACCGTGGCCCTGATGCCGTTCCCATGCCCCGGCTGCGCCCCCGCAGAAGAGCCGGCCCACCCCAGCGCCCTCATCAACGTACCCTCCACCGTGGTGCGCATGCTGGTGGGAGACCACACTGGCCTGCTGGCCTTCCTGGGCTGGGCCTGGCCGGTGGGCACCCTGTCCAACACGATCGTCCAGGCCGCCTGCCTGGTGCTGGTGTGCCGCTGCAACACAAGGCTGTGCTCCACCCCGGTGAGCGGCTGGCCTGGCCCGCGCTGGGCCCCGCGCTGCGCCTGCTGGCTGGCCGGGTGTTGTGCTGAGCTGCCCAGGGCGGCAGTTCTGAGCCTCCAGGGCCGCCCCCTGCTGCCTGCGTGCAGTACATGCGAGGGGCGACGTCGGCGGCCCTGGCGGATGCATCGTACGGCGGCGTGGCGCTGTCGCTGCAGCGGGCGGAGCGCGTCACGGGGCTGCACCTGCGCGGCATGGCCGGCCGCCCCACGGCGGAGCAGGTCTGCTGGTGGTACACGCTGGGCCTGCAGACCATCCTGGGCTTTGCTGCCCCGGTGTTGTACTGGGTGTGCAGCGACGCACGTGCCGCGGCGCGGCACGCCGCCGCCCACGGCATCGACCCCCGCGACCGCCTGCTGCGCAGCTACCGCGCCGTCTGCGACTGGCTCTGCTCCGGCCAGGCCGCGCTGCAGTGGGTGCTAGCCGCCGCGGTGGCGCTGCTGATGGCGCTGGCCGCCGCGGCGATGCTGGTGGCTGGCACCGGCGCCGGCGGCGGGTGAGGCGGCCCATTTGTGGGTCGACGGGTGGCGGGAGGGCGCGGCGGGCGCCAAGCTACTGATGTATGTGTTTGATTCATGTTATCTGCGTTTTTCTACGCTATCTAGCGCCATATCTTGCAGTTCTCCATGGGTTTGTGTTATTACAAGACCAGCAGAGTGCCAGTCGGCGCGACGTCGCCACACACACGCCTCCAATGCAGTTGTGCGAGATGTCGTGCACCCTGCCCAAGCATTTTACGAAGCAATACGCTACATCTCGAGCCTGAAACAAACGCAACGCAAGCAAGATGGTGGACCATGAGGTAATCGCCTGCGGGCTGCGCTTCCGCCTTCGCACTGCAAGTGAACCCAGTGCCATCGATGGCACGATCACCTTCCAGCAGGCGGCGGCGATGTCGGAAGCGCGTTGGGGGTGGTGCGCCTCGGCGCTCGCGCTCCACCCGCTCCCGGGCCCGCTCCTCCAGAAATTGCCCTCTGCCCTCGCCCTGCCTGCAGGGCCACGTCAAGGAGATCCAGTGCGTCGTCTCACACGCCCACATGGCCGTGCTGCACCCTGGCTGCTCTGCTCCTCCACTGTTCACGCGGCGTGCTTGCGCCACCGCCGCTCCCCGTGCCCGCCCGCTGCCTGCGCAGGTGGAAATTCATGGAGACGGGGCCCCACCAGGGCGACATCTTTGCGCAGGTGGTGGACTATGCCAACCCGCAGGACGCACCCGAGCGCCTCCTCCCGCACAGCCACCCGCCCGCCTGCGGGGTGCCGCCCGGCAGGGCGCTGGAGGCCGCGCTGCTGACGGGGCTGGCGGGCGTGCTGCTGGCCTGCCTCTACTCGCTGCTGGTGCTGCGCCGGCGGCGCGTGCCCGACACGCCCGCCGCGGCGGAAGACCCTTCTGCTCCCATCGTGCTGGCAGACTTCCCAAGGTGGGCTCGGGGTGCTGCTGGCCTCGCCTCGGCTGCCCACCCATCACCCGACCCTCCTGTGGTGCTGCCGTTTCCGAGCGCAGGCTGAAGCGGGAGGGCGGACCCACCTGCTCCCCGAGCTCCGCTGTCACCAAGGCAGAGGCATTTCTGCGCTTTGCCGGCATACACTACAGCAAGCAAGTGGTGAGCGCACCCGCTGCCCGCAACGGTTTGCCAGGCACAGCCGCACGCGCTGCTCCCAGCCAGCCAGCGCCGCCCCCCGCCAAATCCCAGCGCTGCCGGCTACCCCGCCGCCTGCCCTGCAGGGCTCTCCCGACCCCGCCCCCTCTCCCGGGGTGCAGCTGCCCTACCTTGACCGTGGGCCGCGCCAGCGGGTTGCCGACCCACACTTCATCATCAAGCACCTGGTCAGGTGGGGGGTGGGGGTGGCATGGCGCAGGTGCTGCAATAAACGTCTGTCTGCACAGAAGCGAGGCTCGCTGGCTGGTCGGTCGCACCATCCTCGCCGAGCCCCTCCATCCAGCGGCTGCCCGGCTGGCTGGCTGCCTGCGCGCAGCTCTGGCGCCGCCCCTGCTGAGCTGGAGTTCCCGCCGGGAGCCAGGGACAGGGCCGCAGCCATCGCGGTGGCCCGCATGTGTGACACAGACCTGGCCGGCGCAGTGGACTTCTATCGCTGGGTGGATGACGAGGTGGGTGGGCGGGTGGCCACCCCTGGGGGACCATCCTTTAGGGAACCATCCTTTACCGCGTGTTGCCTCCCATCCTTTCCTCCTTCCCACACATAACATGCCCCTGGTCAACGCCCCGCAGGGCTGGGCACGGTGCCGCCAGGCGCTGATGGGCCCCTCCCGCCCGCTGTCCCCGCTGGGCGCCGTGCTGTCGCGAATGGCCCGCAAGGCCTGCTACACTCGGTGCTGGGAGGAGGGCATCGGCGCCCACTCCGAGGGCGACCGGCTGGCGCTGGTGGGGGAGGAGCTTGGGGCGCTGAGCCAGCTGCTGGGAGACAGCCCCTACCTGTTTGGCGCCAGGTGGCTGGCTGCGCTGCCGCTGCCGCTGATGATGATGATGCTGCCGCTGCTGCTGCTGCTGCTGGCCCCACTACGCCCCACTGCCGGGGCTGCCTGCCTGCCTTCCTGGGGCTGCCTGCCCGCCTGCCTGGCCTCCCAGCCTTCTCTGTCTGCCCCGAGTTCCCTCGCCCCCCGCCCAACATCGACCCCTCTGCCCGCCCTGCGCCCCAGCCCTCACGCGGTGGACGCCGCCGCCTTTGGCGTGCTGGACCAGATGGCGGCGCGCTGCCTGAACCCGCAGCTGGCAGACCTGCTGGAGCGGTGGCCCAACCTGGCGGCCTACCGAGACCGCATCCGGCGGCGGTTCTTTGGGCAGGAGTACGAGCGGGTGGTGGCGTGGGTGGACGATGAGGAGGGGGCGGCCGCCAGCAGCGGGCAGGGTGGCGCCGCGGGCGGCGGCGCTGAGCAGCTGGGTGGCGGCGGCAAGGCGGCGCATGCCGCCGCAGCCAAGCTTCGGCGCAGGGCGCTCGTGAAGGAGGAGTGAGGGCGGCAGTGTCGCCTGATGCTTTTGTGTGCCAGAAGTGTGGAATTTTAAGTAGCAGAGCAAACACATCCGCGGCGACCCCAGCCGCCTCTCCAGCTGGGGCGAGGAGGCGGCTGCAGTAGTGGCGGTTGCTGTGGCAGCGGCGGCGGTTGCGGCCCAGATCAGCTGGGGTTGGCGAGGTGGCAGAGAGAAAAAGGAAAAGAAGGGCGGCGGACACGACGACACATCCTGGCGGGGGCAGCACCAGCTCCCGGGGGGGAGTGCTCCCCCCCTGCTCTGTCTGCACCCCAGCTCTCTCCTCTCTCTCCCCGTTTGTGTATGGTGCCTTCACCTTTCCAGCTGCTGCACCACAGCTGGGCCCGCAGCATTCATTTGCTCCTTATGGGTGTATCAGACAGACAGACAGACAGACCAGCTCGGGCAACAGCCGGCGGGGTAGCCCTCCTCCTGCCCGCCCTCAAACACACCTCACCGACGCAAGGTGCAGTGCTTACACAAGAAGGATGCATGCAGGCAGAACAGGGCTTCATAGTGACGCTGCGCATGTGTTGCCCCCTGATGTGGCACCCTCCCGATTGGGCAACCCCCGCCCCCGCTCCCTCCTGGCAGCCCGCGCGGCGCTCCCCTCCCATACGTGAACTGACCCCATATAGCCCTGTTTGAGGGTTGAGCGGGGCGGAGCGGGGCTGCTTGCACACGTGATGGCATGCCCGCTTCAACGCTCCCGCTGTCATCTCACCTCTCTAGCGTCAGAAATACAACTCTTACAAGCCAACCAACACGAACAGAGAGACCGAACAACAGAAATGAACAGGAAATATAAAGCCGCCACAGGCGGCAGCACCTTCCAGCGGAGACGGCAAAGCGTACAAGGCACACTTTTTCAATGGTTCTTGCAATTGCCACCCTTACCGGTTATACAGCCACAGTGCCGCCCACACCGCGCACCATTCTTCTTGCAGCTGCAGTTCCGGGTGCAGGCGCCGCGGCAGCCGCAGCGCACGGCTGCCTTGCCGCCGCCGGGCTGCGCCGCCATCGCCACATTGAGAGACACCACAGGCACTCCTCGCTGCGCCGTGCCGCTGAAGGTCAGCTCGCTGGCCAGGCTGGGTGGCGCCTTAGATAGCCTGCTGGCCTGATGCATACCCTCCACCACTCCAGCTCCGCTCCGCAGCCGGTACATGGTCACGCCAAAGGGCCGCTTGATCTCCACCACGCGGCACACGATGCGGTTGCGGCCCAGCTGCTTGCCCACTTTGCCGCGCTTCGGCGGCAGCAGCAGCACGTCATCGCCCACAGCAAAGTCCTTGGGCTCGCCCTTTGGCCTGCGCTGCGCT